CTGTTCTTATAATGTCAAGTATTTCTTTTTGTTAATGGCTTTCCCACCCTCCACCAGGTATAATCAATTTGATTATCTGAAAATCCCATCCTGACTATCATTAAAGTCTAGAAATAAATTTTACAGAGAAGATGTGTCCCTTTTGTTATCTCAGCTCGTCCTCGAAATCCAAAATAAATCTTAAGAGAGTCAAAAAGGGATTAAGTTATTTTCTAAGTAATCAAAGAATATTCTGTAATACAACCAGATTGCTTTGAACTGTATTTGTGCAACAGTTATATGTCTCAATTCTGCCAGACAGCAAGGAGTGCAGAATGTAGCCTTTTTGAAAATCTCAGCATACAGTTGAAAGAAAAGAAAAGAAAAACAGGTTATTCACTTTTTTGGCTGTATCAATGTCCTTGAAATGATGAAAGCAGTGCCCTCTCAGGACTCAGAAAACAGACGGATGTTTGAATAAATTTTCTAGCGGTAGAGGTAGGTCATTTCATGCTGGACCCTTAAGTACAAAATCAAAATACGTTATAGAAAGCAGAACCATAGTTCATACAACAGAACCATTCAAAATAAGAATTACTCAAATATGCACAGTCTGAATAATTTATACAGGAATAAGTAGGACAAGTGATGGTATACTGAAATGGTATATTTATGTTTCCTTAGTATGTAGAACTAGTCTGTTTTTCTAAGTTGAAAATAGAAATAGAAGAACATTCAAAATGCCATGATTTAGCAGAGCACTGGCACTCAAGTGGAATATTGCTCAAACATGATCTTGCATTTTGGGAAGGGTAGCAGTGGATTAAAGTTGTGAGAATGAACATTCTGTTTTTTATTCCTTTTATCAACAACCCCCAAAATTCTCCTTGGCTGGTGGCTTTTTACCTCTGATGACAACAACACATTTCTTAAAAGGACCACTCTTTAAACTTGTTGGGGGGGGGGTGTCCAAGTAGCAGGAAAAGTGAACACAATGGAAGAGGGGAGATGGCCAGAACAGAGAAGGAACATAACCTCTAATATAGTAAAGAGAATAATTTCTATTCGTGCTGGTGGACTGACTGGATTTTAATTCTGATGGCCCAAATTTAGTTTTTATTGAACAACCTGTTTGACATAGTACTGCTCAGAATGCCTATCAAGATCAGCTGTCCAACAATCTTACTTGAGACAGGTTAGCTTCCAGGGGTGAGGGGCAATACGTTAACTTAATTATACAGGCATTTTTAATAGCTTTTCAACCCTAAACTCCTGGCTGGGGTGGGAGATATAACAAAAGTTGAAGGATTTATAATCATTAAAGAAATGAAGATAAAACAAGTAAATAATGCTTTTCCTTCCTCATTTCTCATTCAGTAATACCTTATTGAATTAGATTGTGTGCTTTATAAGAATTAGATTATGTTACGCTGATTTTTAAAGTTACCATTTGTGTTTTTGCTTATTTAGGCATTGGTATTCCACTTTTCAGGCAAACAGCCTTTGGAGAACAGCTTACAACAGAACTGAGGTAGAATAAATGCAACTTAAAAAGGAATAACTGTTGAGTTGAAAAATCAAGCATATTCCATATAGGAGCTAGGATTAAGGGAACTACAATGTTTTTGACTGAGGGCAGAGAATTTCCAGTAATGCTATATGGTTGGGGGAGATTCTGCTCTGTGACGTAACACTATACATTTTGCAGTAGATATTTAAGAAAAGAAGAGAAAAAAAGAGAGGCAGATGTGGCTGCCGTTCTTTGTCCCTCAAAATGTTTAGTTCATCTCATTGTGTAGAGCTTGGGACTGGGATCTACCTGCATCAGAGCTCTGAGAGAGAAACAGAGACAGACAGGATGGATTTGAAGAGCAGGGTATGAAATACCTAATACTGTGAAATAAATGTATTGCTTATGCTTTTCATGTTTTGAATGAAACTTTTTCCCCTCTTAAAATGCCTCAGATCAGTTAAAATAGAAAAATGCTGTCATGGAGAAAGAGTTCTCAGCTAAGTCTACACTTAGGTGTGATGGAAGGCTACTTTTTTCCTTCTGATGACCTCAACCGCAGGCCATAATGCTACTTGTGTATTACTGATCTCAGGAGGTTTTAACCTCCACATGGGCGCTTACTTGGCTTAACAATACCAGCAACACATTTAAAGTTAATAAGTTCTAATCAGCAGCCCTTCAGACAGTAAAGGAGTTACTTCAGAGAAGTTGTGTATTTGGAGAGGTTGTGTACTTACGGCCTAGGCCGTAAATACACAACCTTCTACTTTTTCTTCTACTTTTAGTGACAGAATTAAAATGTCTGAATTGTAAGATGGCCACCCTAATAGTCTAGCATTAGAAAACTGATAGTGCACTTAAAAAACAACCCTTTTTTCTACAAAGAAGTATAAGAAAAAACCCAAAAACTGAAAAAAATATTGCTTTAAAAATGGCCACTCTTTAAAATTCACTGAGACTTTGGATGACAGATGTTTCTTCCCCTTTGCTACTGTTGTATTTTGCAAAAATACTTTTTAAAGTAGAAGTAGTTAGTCTTTAGTTATGCCTAAAACAAAAAGACTATTGATATTTTGCTTTGCTTTCCTAGGAAGTTCACACTGTAAGGATGGAGAGGAATCACCGACTCATAAACTTGAAATGTGAGATTGCAAATAAATTCCGCAAAATGATCTTGACATTCTGACAGCTGCAATTTATCATCATAAATTACTCTGCTTTGCTGCAAACTTTCTGCCATATGAAGACAGTGATCTTTCTAAATTGCCTAGTGTCCTCTTCCATAATGAACTTAGGTTTTGAAGATCTTGATACCCACAGATAAAGAATACCTCGGTGGAGAAATCCAGGGATACTGGGGCCTCACTGTACATCTGTGAAAATATTCACATACTACTGATCACCAGATGAAGATGATTTTTCTATCTAGTTATTGCAATATATTGCTTAGGGGAGAGATTGGAGAACATAAGACAATGGATGACAGTAGTAAACAAGTCTGTCTCAGATATCCCTCCTTTATTTATTTTATATCAGTTACCATAGACCTGCTGTTCTGTATTTTCTGTAGTCATTGTCCTAGAAGACTTGGTGCAGTGCATGAGATAAAAGTCCTAGAAATTCATTGTGGACAAGATATAGTCTAGGGTTTCATGCTTAGTATACAGACATGACAGGGCAAAACCCAAATCCAAAACTTGTTTTATTGTGAATTTCCCTAATAACTAGAGAAGGTCCATTAGGCTTAAAATATATGTTGAACATAGGGAGAAATACCTCACTTGTTAAAGCAATTTTACAATGGCATCAGTGACCAGGGTATAGTACAAATGTTTATTGGATGTAGTCAAACAGAAGCTGCATAGTTAATGGAATTGGAATTTAAGCAATAATCAGTTAGGAGGTTGAAAAAGATTTTATATAAAACACCCTAACTCAAACTTTGCCACTTTATGATTATATGATGTTATCTGACTTTATGATTCCACTGATCATTTTGAGCTAATTATTCAGTGGGTTAACCTATTTCACAGGGATATGGGGATAGCATGGTAAAAGGACTACATACAATGTAATGTTATAAGAAGTTTGAGATTCATTAGCACTTCCTGAAACCACACTCAGATATGGCATTCAGTGTTGCTTCGTACCTGGAGGGAGAAATAGCAAAAATCATTACTTTCCAGGTTAGCAGAAGAGCTGTCTTGGATTCGTGCTATAAGTATAAAGTGGAAGTAATCAAGCACTGCACTTCTGAAAGATTCTTACACATGATTTTTGAGAAAAATGATCTTCCTCTTCATGTAATTGATCAATAAAGGAAAAATATCCAGTTTATTTTCCTTTTAATAGAATGCTGATTAATGAATTACAAAAGGATAGACTAGAAGGAGAATGCAAAGACAATGTAAAAATCATATTTGTTAAATGCACTGTTGGTATCATATGGCCAATAAAACAAGGACACAGAAGTTGGATCTTCCAGAGTCCAGTGATTGTCACTGGTAATGGAATACTTGTATTATGTAATAGCCGTTTAAAAAGGTAACTTCAGAAATCAGCAAACAAAGTTTGAATTTAGTACTAAATTAATCATGGACAGAAGCTCTCTGTCTCAACAGACAACAGCTTATGAGGGAATTTAACTAATAGTCTTAAGTTTGGTTAGGACTTGAATCACAGACTACCAGGAAATACTAGGACTGGATATCAAATATGGGTAAATTAATGTCCATCACATAAAGTAATGCTCCTCCTTTAAACACTTAGAATTTTTTTTTCGCCAGTTCCGTATGCACATATCCAGTGTCTTAGCAACAGCTCAATGCACAGTGGGGTTCATTCTTAAATTTTGTACCTGAAAGGAGGGTAGTTGGTATTATCCGAACTCTTATGCTAAGGTGTTACCTCCATGAGGCTCTGGAAGTGGGTGAGAAGTGAGAAGGCTCTGGAAGTGAGAAGGTCATTGCCCAGCTGGAAGTAGCCCAGAACAGTTTCCTAAGGAATATTCTGGTCCTTCCTCAGGGCACTGCTGCGGCCATCTTTAGGATGGAAGTGGGGTTACCCTCAATTTCCATTAGAATTCACTTTGTACCACTAAGGTACTATAAGAAATTAAAAACCCTCCAAGATCCCCACTTAGCTAAATTTTGTTAGGGTTGTTGTTGTTTTTTTTGCATTATATGGGTGGAAATCAATAGACCAAATGCCTGTCTCCTATCCTACAATTGTATTCCCTGCTCTCTTTAGGGGAACTTAGTTCTTGGAGCAGTGAAAAAAATGGAGATAAACTTTCGTAATGAGATCCCTGTAGAGATGTTACTGTGGTATACTCTTTAAAGCACACTGTTAGTACCACCATTGTCTCTCCCAGGTCTCTGTTCCTGAAAAGCAATATTTTCAAACACCCTTATCTGCTGTAATAGAAGACCATATGGGACTAACCAGATCATCATTAGAAGTATTGGGCACCAACTGACTCTCCTATGATAATGGCTCAATCTCTATCCTTGCTTGGAACACAGCTGGCTGGAAAACGAAAAATGGATGCCTCTTTTCTGGAATATATTAGCTTGTTTGATATTTTGTTGCTCCAGGAAACATGGGCCATGGATGATATACAATATCTCCCTCTGGATACATTCCATACACACTCAAGGCGCTACCCAGTGTTAAAAATGGAAGACCCTCAGAAGGTTTGAGCATAACCATCACTACAAAAGTTAAGATCTCTACACTGTGTTGGAGCCTTGTGCCAGTATGACCCTAGCCCTTTTGTTTCATCTTAAGCCACACAATATGTTTGTCATCAATATATATCTCCCCCCATTATGCAGACAGAATTAAGTTATTAGTATTTGGGATCTTTTTGGCAACTATATCTCTAGTCTGCTTTGCCAGTACCCAGATGCATTAGTAATTATTGCTGGTGATTTCAATGCTTGTATTGGAGAGTCAAATGCTTTTTTACAAGCTCATTTTAATTGAATGAAGTAGTCTGCCCTTTATAGGCTCGACAATCTAAAGATAAACATTGTAATATGGCAGGCTTCCGATTGGCCCAGTTTATAGATAGTCTGGACTTGGTCATACTAAATGGCTCTGCTAGAGGAGACTTAAATGGGGAACTAACCTACTGGGGCTTTAAAGGAGCAAGTCTGGTTGATTATTTTATGGTTCCACTTACTTATGCTCATCTAATAGCATATTTCTATATAGGGAATCGTCCAGATAGTGACCATTTCCCATTAATCTGCTGTTTGAATCCTAAAGTAACTATTAAGTTCCTAGCTGTAGCTCACTGTCCCCTCGGGACCACAACAAAAAGATTCATTTGGAATAAATGGTCTTCCAGAGTGGCAAAAAACTCATCCGCTCTGTTAAACTCAAAATCCCTCCTTCAGCTCCGCTCCCAAATTTGTTTAGCAGACTCCTCTGAACAGATATTATCACATTACCAGTCTATTATCCACACTCTCCAGGCCCAAGCATTTAGAGTTTCATCAACTAGTTCTAGCCCCTTTCATATGAGATTCAAACCTTGGTTTGACAGAGATTGTTATAAAGCAACTCTGACAACTCGTTAGGTTCCTTCCAATCACTCAGAGAGCATAAGAAATTTTATAAAGCAGTTATAAAATCTAAGAACAAGCGCTGAGAGAGGATTGGGGGAGATTAATTGCAGCAGCTAAGCTTAAGAACCCTGTTTGGTTCCAGCACCAAGTTAACTGCTCTCCTGTGAGCAGTTGTTTAGGTCCCATCTGCCAAATACCTGCAGATGTTCAGGAGAGTTACTTTCAGAACATTTGTAATCCAGAACTATTAAGTAATCCAGTGGTGGTTCCCCACCCAATGGTGACTTCTCCCGAATGTGGCTTCCTGTGTCTATAGCCGAAGGTAAGGATCTCGTTGTACACTTGAAATCTGGGAAAGCTCCTGGAGGTGATTTCATCCTTCCAGAGTTGCTAAGAGAAAATAAAGATTGGTGGATCCCACTGCTGGCTGCTCTTTTTACTTATATTAATAGCACAGCAT